TGTTAAACTTTTAGCAGAATTCAGTACAGTACTCAAATTACAGTTCTGTATATCAATTTTCTTACAACCCCACCAAGGTGACCATCTCACTTATGTGGTTAGAAATTGTATACCTGAAGGCAACCACATGAGTGAGATTTTACTGTATACACCAGTAAAATGTGTGTATCAAGTAGACAAATATGCAAATAAAATTCCTGTTAAAATGTAATTTTTATTTTTAAAAATTTGGATTTATTAAAATATTATTTTAATGCAACATATTTTCTTGTAAAAATGTTTTTATATGTTCATATGAAAGAGATTAATCTTCTTGTACATAGATTATAAAAGAAAAAACTTATTGTATAAAATTTTAATAGTATTTGATGTATAAAATAAGTAAGAATTATTAAAATTTAAATCTTGTTAATGTAGGTTGAATATTTGTAAAATTAAAGTACTGTTTGATGTGAAATATTGAAATTTACATGCATGTAGCTTGTATGAATAAGTATAAAATAATCATGATACAATTGTTTGTAGAAGAAATTTGAATAGTAAAAATTGTCTAGGTAAAAAAAGAAGTTATCTGGCATTTTGCCACGACTTAAAATCTAGTAAAATATATAATTACTGAAACTTCAGTTAGGTGAATATAAGCTAAGAAAATATTGATTATAAATAGTTCTGTAAAGGCTGGAAATGAAAAATAACAGCTGCGTAAAAAGAATGTCACTACTTTTAAATATTTTTTTACTTATTGTTAAATTTTTTTTTTAAATACAAATATTTATAGAAACTATTTAAATTATTTGTTCAAAAGAATTTTTATGGAAAAAAATTGAAAAATGTGTCAGTAGCAATTTATAAATTCATCAGAAAAAATCATTAGCATATGAATTATATTTTAATTTTAAAATTAACAAATGAAAATGATTTACACAAATGTTTGTCGATGCAAATACATTTTAAATTGTGTTAAGTACAGATTTTTAATATTTTTGAATTAATTAAAAAGCACTTTATGGATGGCTTAGGTAGGCAGATTCTAGACCGATACTAGTAAAATTGTTTTTAAACCATATTGATATGTTATCTATTATATAAACTGACTGTAGTAAAAGTATAATTAGAAATTGTAAATATTAGATAAATTTAAAGTAAAAAAAATTCACTATAGTCTAGTAAAAATATCATAGTAATTGTTTATGAAATGTGAATTTTAATTGGGTGATAAATCATTTAAAACTATTATTACTTTATTGTAAAACATGAAAAAATAATTTTTTTATTTTGTGTTTAAATGAAACATTATATATCTTTTCACATTTATTTTAAATAATTATGGTTTTTTCTGATTATCTGTGAGTTCGTTATTTAAATATTGCAAAATTAATAGTTGCAGATTTGATGGTGTTTCAGGTATATAATCTCATAAAATAATTATAATTTATAAGTTCTAAAAATGAATATAATTCTCTGAAAATATTTAATTAGATTTCTAGAAAGCCAATTATATTTTTTATTAGATATTTCATGCTATACTTGGATAAAGAACAAATAAAGTTTAAATTTGTTTTGACAAGAATGAAGGTTTTGGTTAAATATAATAAACTATAACATATGTAGTTTATATTATAGTTTATTATAGTATAACTAGAGTGATGATGATAAATAAATTGGAAGAGAAGTGATAGATTATGATAAGATATCTTAATAATTGATTTAAAGAAATTAAAGAAGAAATAAGAACACATTTATAAAGTAAAAATGATAAAAATGTTTGATTTCTGTATTATAAATGATATTATAAGTTAGGACTTCTAAAAAACTCCAAAAACTGAATTGAAATGTTAAAGGAAACATATATAAGTTTCATAGATTTTTATGTACATATATTTTCATCTATATATGTTGTTAATATTGTACTTCTATACTTATAAGAGCTCTTATAGATGAGGAAAAATCGGCAATATAGTCTATAAGGTATAAGGGTGGATCAATAAATAACCAGCCAAAAACAACAGCATGGCCAGTTATTTATTGATCCACCCTTATACCTAAAAGAGCTTGTCATTTTTAAAAAGAATTTTATAGTACTGGTTTCTGTTTTTAACATTGGTTACCACAGAAAGGTCACTGAACAGATGTTGTATCGGTACCTTTACAGGTAATTTACATTGACAGAGAAGTGCAGTGCTCTTATAAGCCACAATAAGCTGAAATACACAAAGGAATGTTTTTGTATGCAAGGTAGACTCTTACAAGCAAAGCAGGAGATGTTTCAGAAACAAAAATAAGTGATTTATTACATATAAAGGCATGCTCTTATTTGTATAGAAATATGTTATGTATTTCTGATCTGTTTTGGAATATATTATTGTCAGTTGCACATTAACCTTTGTATGCTGTATTTATGTTTTGAATGCTGCTCATCAGACCATTTCTGAACTGAGCAAAGTTGTAGAGGAAATGATATATATATCATTTCCTCTACAACTTTGCTCAGTTCAGAAATGTTGAACAATGACAAATACGATATATTCAAATGCAATAGATGTTATAGGATTAGATACTTAATTAGTTGCCATAAATTGGCTAAAAATCATTGTTGAAAGTTATTTATTTATTTTTGAACGTTTTGAGTAATTTTCCTACAAAAACTACTACTGTGCAGATGATAGTTGAATTGCAATCACTATCTGCAAAATAAGTTATTGATACATATGGAACTGTTTTGTGTATTGATCATGATTTAAATACAGTTATTTAAAGATATTACAAGACACTTTCACAAAGTTACAGCACTATTTTAACTTTCATAATCTAATGTGGCAACGTGCTCACTATGAATGTGGCTGTAGCAAAATGCTACATTGATAGTAAATATACAGTGGTACCTCAGGATACGAAATTACGTTTTCATGATACGATCTCAGGAAACTGAGATCGTATCATGAAAATGTCGTAAGGTGAATCAACTTTTCCCATACGATTACATGTAAAACCAAATAATTCGTTTTAACGCGAGAAACATACTCAAATTAAAGCCAAGTAATACATTTAAAAAATAACTGTAGTAAGGAAAACAAATGAAAAATGCGAACTAATGTAACGTCGTATGGTGAGTTTTTGTTCGTATTGTGGAGCAAAAATATGTTCGAATTTCATGTCGTATCCTGAAAATTTCGTATGCTGGGGCGTTCGTATCCTGAGGTACCACTGTAAGTCCATTGGCACTACTACAATAGCAGTGTATACATCACAACTACACATGCACTGCTATGACAGTAATATGTGTAAAGTCATAAATGCAAATCATTATGTAATTCTTTTTCACCTATAAAATGTGTGAGGCCCACCATTTTCCCCAAATTTTGGTTGTTGTTATATTATTATTATAATTATTATGAACAACCAAATTTTGGTTGTTCATAATAATTCATGAATATATGAATATATATATATATATACATGAATTATTATGAACATTATCGTTATAATTTTAATCAATTTATTTTAAGTTTTTAGCTAATAATGATATATTCTCTTTAAAAAATAAGTTAGAAATTTTATTGTATTTTAAACTATATATGTGTTTTACATCTCTTTTTTTTTTCTTTGAATTCATCAGACAATTGTTAGCTGTCAGACAAGATGCCTTTTGCACCCATATCTCAAAGATGTGTGTGTGAATGTGACACCAGGATTGTTTATGTTTATCAAGCAATGTTGTAAAAGAATTTTGCTATTTTTCTGATTCTAGGGATCCCCTTCTAAATTTTTAGCAATACCAATTAAAAATAATTAAGAGAGACAAATTAGAATAAAAAATTATCAATTAATTGTCATAAATCTCTCTACATTCAAAGGAGGGATGACTGTTGTTTCCCCGTTTTTCAATAGTGTTAGCTGACAACACACACCTGGTGGCAGGGTACCCATAAATGAATATGTTTAAAAATGTGGACATTGTAAAACACTGTAAACATGAAAATAAAATGCATTTATTACTGTTTACATGGATTAACTTTTTGCAGCTGTGATTTTGATATAGGGCAGACATTATATTTGCAAGCTAACTTTTTTCAAGTTTCAATGTTTCAAAAATCAGGTACACATCAGAATTGAGAGAACATGATAATCTACATATATTCACTCCTGCACACTTGTCTAACATGTAATTAACAGAAGAAATTTAAGTTTCATACAATATTTGATCTTGAAAATGTTAAGAAAATTGAATTGTTTGGTCAATAATTCAGTCTGTAATTTGAGTTTCATTGAGTAACTGTTAGGCCCTGTACACACTAGGCGTTTTTCAATGCGCGTTAAACGCCGAGCTAATGCGCGTTAGCTCGGCGTTCGACGAGCGTTAGTTCGGCGTTTAGCACTGGCTCAGTTTGGAAATGGACGAGAAAGTAATTGATTGTGTGTGCTCCTCCATCGTTGCTATAAGGCAGCACATATATCTCAAAGCGCCCATAAAGTGCCCGCAAAACGCGCGTTTTAACAAAAATCTATAAACACGCGTTAAACGTGCGCTTGGCGTTTGAGTGCGTACGGCTACATAGAACTCTTGGTTCTTTAAAACGCGCGTTGAAAAACGCCTAGTGTGTACAGGGCCTTACTGTTATACTTATTGGAGGAGAACAAATACAGAGATTTGGCATATTTCTTTTAGCTTTATATAAATAAAAAGATTAAAATTGAAATTATTTGATCAGAGATATTAAATATCTTCCATTTAACTGTAATTACTCATATTGCTTTTGCAATTGGTAATTAATAAATGTTTAATAATTTTATTCTAATTTTAGTTATTGAAATTTATGTAAAATATATTTTGTTTTCTTATTTGTAATTTTTAATGTTTTATGTTCAGACGAGATAAAATTAGGAAATGTAAAAATTTTGATTTTTTATTGCTGTTTGCAGAAATGCAAATTTATACTATTTTAAAGATCTGGGGAATGCATATAATGTTATTTTATAGTATGTTTTTTTTTTTTTTCCAGGAAACACAAAGATTAATGGCTGAACCAGTACCTGGTATAAGTGCCATTCCAGATGAAAATAATGCTAGGTATTTCCATGTTGTTGTCACTGGACCACAAGAGGTAAACTTTTAATATTTTTAGTTACTTGTTTAAATGAATTTTGGCTAACATCAAAATACTTTCTATTATACATGTACTTATACTTTATTAATCAAAGAATATTTTCAGACAATAAAGAAAAATGCTAAGATAATGATATAAATATTTTGGATCAGTTTAAATCTTTAAAAAAAAACTGATGATGATGCATTACATTTCAAGGAAATTTTATCCATAAATTTGTATTAATTAATTTTTTAACAAGTTTGATAAAAAAATTAGTTTCCCTTAACTCAAAATTTAATTATATTTAAATTCCAAGAATAAACTAAATTTCTGATGAAGAAAAATTAGTTCTGTAGTACAGTTGAATAAAGCTTTATTGGTAGCAGATGTGCTAATTTATCTTGTTATCTGCTACTATTGTCTGTGTAGTGAGAGTAGACACCAGTCAGCCTGAGCTGGAAGGGTCTATGTCTGGATGAAAGGAGATGTGATTAATTGATTAATGTGTGAATAATGTTAGAATTAAGATGATAAAATTATTTATGATGAAAATAGTATAAAACGTTTTAAATATGTAAAAAAGAAAAGTGCAGAAGTCAAATCCATGTCTCAACTCCCAAAGGGGGATAGCCACACATTTCCTCCATCCCGTTCATCTGACGTAGACTCTTCCATCTCAGGCTAACTCATTTTTACTCATTTTGATGTCCATATTGTATTAATCTGTACTAAAGAAGAATTAATTCTAATCAAGAAGTTTAATTTATTCTAAGAAATGATGATATAAAAAATTTTCTCTTCTATTAATAAACTACCATTTTAGGTTATTCTTTGAAAGTTTATGATGTCAAGTTTCCGTTTCACAAATTTGTAATAAGATTTGTGTTGTTGAATTTGAATGGATCATAGAATTTTGAATTTGGAAATTTTGAATTCATTGATAAAAACTCATTTTGTGGATGGTTATAATTATTTAAATGTGCTTATTTAGTTGTGATGTGTCATCTGGTGTTTTTTATACTTGGGGCTTTTTTCTAATCTGTTGTCTGTTTAACAAATTTTAAATCTTAATCTGTGAAACTATATCTGAAATTGGATTTGCAAATATCTTTACGATTCAAATGAATTTTTTTAATATTGTAAATATCTAAATCATCAAATTTGTTCTGAAGTAATTTTGACTGTCTTATTGGTAACCGAGCCCAAATTGCACTACTAATCAAAGAATCGAGTCAGATTGCTTATCTGGCATGGTTATATCTTCTAATTGATATCTATTTACATACTAATTTAAAGAGGAATTTCTTTAAATAGTATAAAAAGTAGTATTAAAGTAGCATAATTGGCAATACAAATGTGCTTAGTAAGTAGTAGTTAAGAGTTTGAGTCCCATTTCCAGTTCATTTTTCCTTCCAGAGTATTCTAAACTAGCATCCTCCATCATGGCTTCACCCGCTCTTATATACATATAGAACTTTGAAAATTTGAACTAATTGTTCATTATTTTTGGGTGATCAATCTCTAGCCCCGAATAACAGGTCAACCTAGATTTATTATGTATCTTCAGGTGAAAACCTTGATTAAGATGAATAGTGTAAACTCTGTCAAGTGCTGTATCTCTTTTGATTCCAGGATACCCTTCAACATCTAGCATACCTATAGTCTGAACTCTGCAACTCTTGTGGAAGAGCAAAAGTGAGGCTTTGCCACCTAGCAGGTGATTCTCAAACTAAACTCTAGTGGTGCAAGAGCATGCATGAAATTCTGCTAACCATGAGATTCCCCTGTCATTTATCACATTTTAATAAAAATTCTGTAGGTTTGATTAGTGATAAACATTCCAGGGATCATAAAGATACTACTGTTAAAATTTGGTAACAATTCAGTAGTTTTTGCAGTTAGTTGGAACAAATGAAAAATACATTCTCTTTATATAGTAGTATAGATTAACTTAACTGTACTTATTAAATTTAATACAAGATAGTGACTTATATAAATATGATGTATTCAGACTAAAGATATTTTATTAGCCAAAATGTGGCCCAATAATGAATAGGGTTTGATTAGTAATTTGATCGTATTATTTACTTCATCACTATTAGAATATCTGATGATGAAGTTTAAGAATTCTGAATATTTAAACTGAAAGGACATTTATTGTAGTTTAGTTTTTTATATTAATCTTACTTTGAAACAGAGTTTATCAATTATTTTCAGTCTCCATTTGAGGGTGGTGTTTTTAAATTGGAATTATTTCTGCCAGAAGAGTATCCGATGTCTGCTCCTAAAGTTCGCTTTATGACCAAAATATATCATCCTAATATTGATAAACTAGGTCGAATATGTCTAGATATTTTGAAAGGTAACCCTTTTTATCCGTTTGTAAGCATCGTAAATGCCACAATAATTAAATCCAGTCATTACTAATTGCAGATAAATGGAGTCCCGCACTTCAAATCCGAACAGTATTGCTCTCTATTCAGGCACTACTGAGTGCTCCCAATCCAGACGATCCATTAGCAAACGATGTAGCAGAACAGTGGAAAATAAATGAAGCCGAAGCTATTAGAACCGGTAACGTATGACGATAAGAGCAATCTTTATTGTAGTAATTAATTTGTTCTAATTCTTGATGCACTTTATAGCTCGAGAATGGACACGCTTATATGCAATGAATCCTTGAAGATTTTTAGGTTAAGAACACTCTTTGGGAGGTCATGGGGTCATGGTTCATTTGCTGGCCATAGACACTCAGGCAGCATCAATTAATGATGTAAATTGTCCTGGTCACCTGACTGCTAGCTTTAGGTTTTGTGGACCCCTTGTTTCTGAAATCTACTGCTTTATTCCCACCATGTTCTGTAAATAAAATGTTTGTACGGAAAATTGTTTTCAGTAAACTTGTAAGATTTATTCATCTGACCTAGGATAAAATTTGATCAAATAAAAAAAAAAAAAAAAAACAATTTTCATCACACACCTAAATTATAATTCATAGTTTTTCTCAAATTAAATTTTCTTGTAAAAAGACAAAAAAATTTTTTACCCGGTCCCTCGATAAGGTGTACATTGCAAGTAACTTAACCTATTAAACAAGCCTTTTTTTTTTGTTGTTGTTTTATTTGTCTCGTTTCTTGGGGTTCATCTATATGTAGCTCGTTTTCAAGATGTCACAAATGTTTCTAGTCACATCATTCCTGTTTCTGTCACCAGTTTGTGTGATAAAACACTTCTCTTTAAAATTGGCAACTATTCACTCTATGACCAGCAAAAATCATTCCTGTGTAAAAAAAAATTTCCAAAATTCATCCGAAAAATTAGCTTGCAAATTGTGCCTGAACTGTGCTGACGATAATTATATATATATAAAAAAAATGGTCATTACAGTTTAATTCACAGGGCCCGCATGCTGTGCATCACGTCTAAATGTAGAACTGCCAGTGACGACGAATTGTATTTCTTTGATCGTCTCTTGGTGCAAGATGGAAAATTTTACAATTTTTTTTATAATTTTACGAATTGAGTGTGTAAATTAAAGACTTCAAAATCTTGTTTCATTAATTTGTGTTGTGTGTCTGTGAAATATTACAAAATTCACCCTAACAGATTGCTGATAAAAAAAAATACGTTTAAGGATCGTATAATAGTACATTGTGTGTTTGAAATATAAACAGGCAAAAATATTATATATTCTGGTTTAACACTTTATTTTAATTCTACATCTCTGTGGAACCTTTTATTTTTTTTTTGATTAGAAGTATCTTTCAGAAATCCTTTTATTATTATTTAATTTTATTATCGTCAGTTTGTTTCTTGACAACTGATACGAATAATTTAAATTAAGGAAACACTAAAGCATTTCAAAATGCAAAAAGCTTGATGTAAAATAGCAAGCAAACAAACTCTGTAAAAGTATACAAATCTGATGTGTTTGAAATTATATAATGTTGCAGATATTCAGTTTCTACTGTTGGAAGTGTAATATAATTTAAAAGCTTATGAACCATTGTTAAAAAGTATCAGTTATTTCAATAAAAATTTAAAAATTCACTGCTTTTTCATTTAATCCAAGAATCACAAATATTAACTCCTGCATCCAGAACTGTTTTGAAATTTTATTTTAAAACATAAAAAAAAAAGAATTTGTTTTTGATTTTTTAGGAAACGATCACGATCTTTCCATAAATTAACAATACAATACTGTAGTCGGGAACACCTCTCTTATGTATAAATAACAGTACACTATGAAAATATGTCGTGATGAATGTAAACTTTTAAAACTTTTCGAAATCAAATTTATCGGATGGGGTGGCATTTTAATAGGTCCTTTATTTATTTATTTTTTTTGGATACTTGACTAGTTTAAAATTTCTAGTTTGTTTTAAGAGGATAAGTTGAGATTTAAAATATTTATCTATTTCACAAAAATCACAAGTTTGTACACAGATCACTGTACACTGTCATTGAGCATTTGGCCAATATTTTTCGGAGCTTTACAAGCACAGTATGGTACGACTTAACATGCCTGTAATGCTAATAAAATTCAGATCTTTGGGACATCTATTACTAATTTAATGCCGATTTGTTTCGATCAACTTGTGGACAACATCTAACATGCAAACACGTGATGATCCTTGGCATGCTATTATAAACATGAAACCACAGTTGAATGGAATTAGTGCATTGATTTTTTTTCCTGTAATGCACACCAATACATTCTCAAATAACGACAGATGATGGCCGAGAGAATAACCTGCAGATAATATGATGAAAACCTGTACACGAGAATGATGGGAAGTTACACAATATTATATACAAATCGGGTTCGTCTCTCCCTAGCTCTGTTCGCTTGTCCTCGTCGACGACGAGGTGGCCGCTACCGTCAACACTTCAACTCCCTCTGTGGCGTTGGTGCCAGATTCTCCTTCCGTGACGATGGGAGCCATGGTCACCTGCATTCCGTGCGCCTGGGCTTCGCTAAGCTGAGAAATATTTGTCACGACGGTCTGATACATTGAAACTGGTATTGTTACCATACCGGACACAGGAAATGCTACAAAAGAAAAAAATTAATTTAAAGAAATGTTTTTTGAAAACTTGACATAAATTTTATAATTAACTATAGATGAATTATTTAAACTTTGGGAATAGTATCTATAGTTAATAAATTTTACACTTAATCATATCACTGGTTGGATTAATGTGATAAGAGCTTTCTGTACAGAACAATGTTATTATGTAAGAGCTTCATTCAATTGAACAAGAAAAAAATTTATAAACCAACTATAACCAAACAATGCTGAGGACAAAGAAATCTAGAATTTTGTTAGGTAATCCTAACAATGCATTGCACATGTATCTATTAGGTAAATACCAAAGAGCATGGAATAAAACTGCCAAACACTATCTGTTTCAGATTGATGGAAGATGATTCATTGCTTGGTTGATCTGCCAATGGAGTTCCTCCCGGGAGGACTCTATGGGAAGCCAGTCCTATTTAGGTGTAAGACAAGCAAAGAAAAAGCAGAAAACTCCACATGTCCCAAACCACCAGTGTTTAGTGATAAAAATAAAATTTGATTTCAGTTATGATGTATCAATGTAGTAATATGATGAGTTATGATGTAGCTTAAGATTATTTTATTTAGTTGGGAAATTCAATTCTAAGAAATGGTACAGTTTTAGAAACATCAAAAAGGCAACAAAATTTTGTGAAAAGTTTCAATGTTTTGAGAAATGGGAGATAATGTAAACTGTAGTTGGCACCTGCACAAACTGGATGTTTTGAGCACGTATAATGCTAAAAGAACCCTTTACTCATTTCTATGGTGTCTCTCACAAGTTATATTACTGTTTTATTTTGACTTAAAGACTTGCAGCACTATAAACCATTATACAGTATATTTATTTAATAAAACAATACAGAAAACCTTGGAATGAATTGAAAACAACTCAATGTTAAATTTTTAATATTTGCAAACGATTACTTGGCCCCAATTAGTACACTGATCCCCCATATATGAGAATGAGTCCAAATAATTAAAAAATACACCAGTCCAAAAATATTTTGTCTGCAATTAATCAATTCATCTGGAAAAACATGAATAAAAAGTAATAGTAATAAAGAATTCTGAACACAAATGCACAAATTTCACTGAAGAAATTCTAATAGTAGTGAATAAATCCATGTGATTAAATCTTTCAAATAAATATTCTGACTTACATCATATATGATATTAATAAAGTCAGAATAGACCATATTGCTTACTGTTTGCAAAATTTTTATGTGGAAATTATAAACTAATTGCAAAAAGGTCCACAGACTTATGAGTCTTATTTTCATTAAAAAATTTGCAAGATTGTTTTAATACTCTGCTTCTTTATCAAAATATAGAATAATGCTTCCTACACTAATAATGCTCACGGCTTGTCTTAATTTTTTTACACTCGTGTGTGTAACCATTTTACCGGGACACAAAGATTACCAAAAAGAATATTTGATATTATACGAAGTCTGTGCACAACCAACTAGTCTCTCTAGTTTTTCTTTTTGCCACTCGAAGATACTAGATTATTTAGAACCTATAAAAAATGACCCAGTTTCCAAAAATAAATTCTCATTTAACACAAGAAAAAGATAAACAATGGTGTCCTCTAAATAGGGGTAAGTTAGATTCACTTACTATGGGGGAAATGTAATAAATGCTATAGCACTGGCTCCTCAGACAGACTGTACTATAAAACAAAGATTCACAAAATCTTTATGGATATAAAAATCTTTTTAATCAATGTGTACAACTTTTTTGGAAACATTTTTTCTTTTACATAAAAAATTACAACAGTATATACTATTTTGTATTATATGTAAGAATAATACTTCTACGTAACTTCATTTCTTAATAACTTTAGACACATTCAAAGTTATCTAAAATATTTATGTTTTCATAATACAAGTAATTTATATTTCTTCCTTTCTGAACAAGTCAGATTATATTTTGCGTGTTTATGATTTTGATCCAGAAAGAACAACAGTAACCATATGACTAAGTTTTTGTAATTTATGTTAACGATCATCATTAATACATATTTGTCTGGAATGTTCTCACTAATAATAATAATTAGTTACAGAATGACTGAATAGAGTCTAACTGACTATTTACACAAATTGTCAATAAACACCCTAATTTAATTTCTTTGTAGAAAAGGCTAGCAGAATTACAATTTAATAAAAAGTAAAATACATCTGGATATGAACATGATTGGACATGGCAAGCAAAATTGGACTCATATCCAGATGTATTTTATTTTTCATTAAATTATAATTCTGCCAGCCCTTTTCTACAAAGAGATATATTTTTAATTGTGTTGGGATTGTCACCTATGAACATTTTAAACTGTTTTACATAATTATAAGATTTATTATCCTTAAATTCAACCATATTGCAGCTTATGAAATATTTACATATAATTTAAAATGTTTGGTTATTAAAATTACTTAAAATGATTATCGTCACTAAGATATGTCACAAATCTCCAGGTTTATCCGGTATATGCAGTTTATTCAGCTCAGAAAGGACCGAGCCCGATTTGGATGACCAAAAATCTGGAAAATTCATTGACATAAATAATAGTTTATATACATTGGGTGATCGGTTAACGAACAGATCAGATAACGAACACTTTCGCGAAAGATTTTTATGTTCGGACAACGAACACATGATCGGATAACGAACACTGCACAGAACGAACACAAGAAGAAGCGATGTAAAATAACGAATACCGATTGGTCTTCTCTTGTCTTCAGGCAACAATTCGAAACTTTTCGGAGTGTGGGAGACGTCGACATCGACGCTCAAGCCGGTATATACCAATCGGATAGTATTCCTCCGAACTTTGAAATTCTCCCTTGTAATTCCAGCCTTTTATTTTTCTGACAAAACAATTCTTTTATGTATTTGCGAGACTGTCGGGTAGGCACAAGTTAAGTTTTGCGTCTGTTTTTTTTTTTCTTTTCAAAAGGTGAGAGTATAATAGCAAAGGTAGAAAGTGGGCAGAAGATGCGTAATGTTGCTGGGCAGTATGGCGCAAACAGGTCTACAGTAGGCCGTAGTTCAATCTTATTTAAGAAAAATACTGTATAATCAAGAAGACTCAAGCAGCTAAAGGCGTAATAAAAGTCACATCTGAGAAATAAAGAACATCGAAGAGTTCATAATGGAACCTGAAACGGATTGACGACAAAAGAACGTCAAAAACTCTTGAATGAAGAACACCAGGAAACTCGGCAAGATATGTTTTCTTCTGAAAAAGAGGATTAATGCCGATATTTGCTATTAAAGATCTTTTGAAGAAGTGGGAAGATGTCAGAACAACGGTCTTAGAATGGCATCCAAACCAGGTTGAGGCTTGGGGATTTCTACAATTGCAATCCTATTAATTACTTACGAAAAATCCTGAAGAAGAGAGAAAAGCAATCGACATTAGACAGATTCTTTAACCCTTTCAAATGGAAAAAACATGACTAATAAAAACGCAAGACTGCGCATGTATATACTTTTATTATTACGTATAAATAAACGTAGTATAAAAGTATATATTTTTTTATTTTTGGCGGTCTCCAGAACGAATTAATTAAATTCCCATTAAAACCTATGGTAAATCGATAATCGGTTAACAAACAATTCGGATAGCGAACAAAGTCTTGGAACGGATTATGTTCGTTAACCGATCACCCACTGTATTTCTAATTTCTCCATTGTAGCAACCACTTTCTTACATTTCGATGTCACTTTCACAGAATTTACTTCACAAAAGATTGAAGGTGACCAAAACTCAGAGAAACAATAGTAGTTGTGGGTGTTGAGAGAATAACTTGCAAGGTTACAAATGATGAACTAATGACAACATTCTCCTGATCATTGTTTTCACTTTTGTCACTTGTTAGTTAACTAAAAAATTAAAGTTTTGCTGTTTTCACTTAATTAAACAAATTAATTTTTATGTATTTTTTGTTATTTGGTAAATTAATAAAATGAAAATGCCAAAACTGTTAATGTAATTTTTTGGGACTATTCATAAAAAGTTCTAGATGGAATTAAGAGCATACACAAGATTTGTTCATCTAACAGTGGTGAAAAGGGTCTCTCCCTTTCAGGTCCTGAAAAAACAAAGATTTTGAGTTACCAGAAAGGATGATCAGGGATCTTGTTTCACACACACATCAATTTGAGAAATATTACATTGAAAATAGAATATAATATTCTGAATTACACTAAATGCCCTCAAGTTAATGGAATGGTAGAGTCAACAGAATAATACTATCTAAAATTGCAGTTAATATGATACACAAACAACAAAGATTGAATCTAAACAATATATCATTTTTTGACCAATTGCCATACTTTCCCTCTGTTGTATAATATAACCTGGAAAGTAATATTTTTAAATACTGTATAATCTTAAAATAATATAATTTCAATTATAAAATAAAAAGTTAAAAAAGTCAAATACAATAAGGTTACCTTATTGTATTTGACTCTTTTAATTATGTATTTAATTTGTTTTTATTTGCAAGTTAAAAATAATGTTTTTATATGTATCAAAGAAATGGTCAAACAAAGACTATTTTCTATACTAATAAGCAAACCCTAACACCTTATAGACTAAATTTGAAATATTGTACAAAAATTCATTACTATAAATAAATTTAACATACCACTTTGAGTACCATCTTCTCCTGTAAGAATTATCTGACCATCATGATTTAGTGTTGCTTCAGCAAGTGTTGCTACTGCTTGTGCAGCCGCTTCACCATTTAAATCAACATTAACAGCACTGATTGGAGTGATTTGTTGACCTCCAGAAACCTGCTGAGAAGCTACTTCAGCATCTGTTGGTGAGTTCTGAATCTAAAATAATTTTAAAAACTTGTATTGACATAACTGTTAAAGAGTTTTATCAAAAATATTTCAAAATGTATTTAGTAAATTTTATCTCTACTTACTGCACTGACTGTTCGAACTTGTGCTTGTGTGCCATCCGATAATGTAACAACAGCACTATTTGGATCCATATGGATTATGGATACAGTTCCATCAGGATTATTTATTGTTTGTACTACAGTTGGTGCATAATGTGTTGCTATCGGTTGGGCATATAATGCCTAAAAATAATATATTTTAAATTAAAATCTTAAAAATACTCATAAATAATAATAATTAATAGATAAATAAATACAATTATATTTTTTAAATTAGGATTTATGAATCGAAAGGTTTTAGATATAAATATTTTTGAACTTTAAGGGAAAGCTGAAATTTAAAAACTAAAAGGAAAGAATTTTTAATAATTATTGAGAAAGGAAACAAGACTGGGATTTGGAAAGAAAGCAACAGAAAAAACTGGAGACTAACTAAACATTTGATGCAACAGAACAAACACCCAAAAACATGGATGATTTTGCTTCTTTGTAATGCTGATGAAATTTTGTTTCAAAAGTGTTTTGTAATGGGACAAGTTCAATCACAATAAATATATTGTGGAACGGACTAGCTGACTTACACTCTGGGCTCCAGCAGCTAGTGCACTATCAACAGCAACAGAAGAAGCAGTTCCACATGCACCAGATGTTGTTATGCCTCGAGCATGTATGGCAGCCTTCACCTTATCTTTATCATCGTCTTCGGTAAAAGCAGGTAACAAATCTTCCCGACCATGATATTTATAACAGTTAATAACTATTTCTCGAAGTGCATGAGTCCAAGAGACCTGCAAAAATGAAAATAAAAATATTGTAAAATAATATAATATAAAATCAGTAATGACATATCAAAATTTTTTTAAAGTAACGTTTATTACCTTTTGTTTTTCTTCTTCTGAACGTGCATCACTTCGAACATTAGCCCAAGGAAGATCTTTAGGCCACCATACAGGACGAGTAGTTTCTTTGCCCCATCCAGGTTTACCTCTTCCAGTAGAATATTTTAACATTAAAGGAATAAATGCTCTTAACTGTGCCTAGCATATAAAAAAAATATTTAAATATATACAGAAATATAAGTTTTATTGTTATTATATTCTACACACTGACCTGTGTCATTTTTTCCACAGGAGTAGGAATACCATCAATTACTAATGGAGGAAGCTCATGAAGAGTTGGATCTTCTTGAGTTTGTGGAGGGGCTTGTTGGGCTAATGCTGCTTCCAATTCTTGCATAATAACACCTCGACAATTACGCACCTGTAATAAATTGTAACATCTGCAGTTTAAAGCAAGTTTTAAATAACATTATCAAACCAACTGAGTAAAATTACTATATTTCTGAATTTTGAATAAAACATAAAGTAATTAACATACCACATTTTCTAATGGATGTGCACCAAAAACTTTAAAATTATTCTGTGGTTTACCAGGTGTTACTATTAAAACAATTGCTTGCTGCCCAACTCTAGTTGTATATTCGTCTATTGTGGCTTTTAATTTTCTGTTATAAAAAGAACATAAAAAAAATATATAAAGCATTCAGTAACATTTTTTCATATGTATCTAAATAGTAAAGAACCAAATTAAAATATAAATTTATTTAAATAAATTAATATCCACCTTGTGCACATGTATGAATAAAATTTTTTTCTTAAAAATCTATCATATTTCATTATACATATAAATTCACTATTATTAATAACAAAGGTAAAGTTGGCTGAATTATTCCTGTATATTAATATGAATCTAAATGAAATCTGAAAATTGTTCTATTATTTACTGATTAAAGTTGTCTACATGACTGGATGGCTAGCCCATTTCTGGAAAGGTCCAGATATGAACCAAATCCATTCTCCCATACTTTAGTATGAATAATGTAAGTTGGGACATTGATCATCATTCCCCATTCAAGTTGGCTAACCTTACTATAGGCCGAAAGATCTGCAGTACAGCTTTAATATTCTGGTTAATTACTTTTGCATTAACTAATCAACCTATCTAGTGATTAAAGCATATATTTTAAAATTATTTATGATAATTCATTCTCTGAAATAAATTTTTTGTTAATAATGGTCAAGATTAACCCTACATAATAAAAACAGATCTTTAATTTAATATGCCTAATTCTGTTAAAGAACTAATTTTTANAGCATACACAAGATTTGTTCATCTAACAGTGGTGAAAAGGGTCTCTCCCTTTCAGGTCCTGAAAAAACAAAGATTTTGAGTTACCAGAAAGGATGATCAGGGATCTTGTTTCACACACACATCAATTTGAGAAATATTACATTGAAAATAGAATATAATATTCTGAATTACACTAAATGCCCTCAAGTTAATGGAATGGTAGAGTCAACAGAATAATACTATCTAAAATTGCAGTTAATATGATACACAAACAACAAAGATTGAATCTAAACAATATATCATTTTTTGACCAATTGCCATACTTTCCCTCTGTTGTATAATATAACCTGGAAAGTAATATTTTTAAATACTGTATAATCTTAAAATAATATAATTTCAATTATAAAATAAAAAGTTAAAAAAGTCAAATACAATAAGGTTACCTTATTGTATTTGACTCTTTTAATTATGTATTTAATTTGTTTTTATTTGCAAGTTAAAAATAATGTTTAAAATTATTTTTAATAGTGAATATTTTAATAATATCAACACTCTAAAATTGGTGATGTTTTTAAATACAAAAATTTGAAAAAAAAAGTACTTCAAAAATTGTGATTTTGAACAAATACATTTGATGAAAACACCTCACTGTGCATACCTGTATAAAATATGTGACTGCTTTCGAGAGACCCTAAGTACTGTGGCATTCAACTCTGTCAACAATCCAGATTTGACACTGTACAATATGTTTGAAATAAGTTAGTCAATTTTTTTTTATAATTTGAATCTTAAGTGATATTATATATATGTTACAAAAAAAAAAAAACTGAGTAAATTTATTTGGATATTTGGAAAAAATCAACAATAAATATATTCATACACATTTGTTAAATAATTTTTTAACAAATGCTTCTGATCATTTATTGTTTATTTTTTTTATATTTATAAAATATAATTATTTTTTATAACTAATTTTATATGCTTTTTAGTAATTATAATATATTTAAAAGCTTGGTGTGTTTTATTGTAATTACTTTTAATTCTTATTTATGTAAATATTAAAACAAATTTTCATCAGAATATTACTTGAGGAAAAAGTAAATTGAAATAAAAATCTTTCACTTTTGTTATAAATACTGTGCATTGAAATTTTTTGTTTCATGTAACCTTATTATGCTATATCCACACTGTTCAATTATGCATAATCCTTTTCATTGATGCAAGTAATGTTGAAACTGTATAGAAACAAAATTTATTTATCTAAAAAATAGAGCAATATACACTAAACAGTATATTTTCCTAATTCAATTTACAGAGAATACAATAATATTTTCACCTATTTTCATCAAGACTTTTATTCACCACATTTTATCTAACTTATATCTATGAACTTGTTCAATATCTGCATCACGAATTATTATAATTATTTTTCTTTTGATAACAAATATAATAATTTAACAATGACATTTCATTTTTAAAGGAAAAAAAATATATCTGTCTTTAGTGAATGAAGTAATTTATTACAATGAAAAATTATGACAACAGATCATTGTATAGAAAATTAAGTATATCTGAACAACAACCAGTGACAGGAACATAAAAAATGGTCATTGTTTAGTAACAAAAAATTGTTTTAAAAAATTGCCATTATTTAGGGGTTATTCTGTATGCATTTCTGTTCAAAAATAAAGTTCCTGAAAAAAATGGCCTCTGTTGGGACGTAGCTGTTATTGTTGGTTTGACTGTTTTACTTAATTTAATGATTTAAAAAAGAAAAGAAAAGAAATATATTTTTTGTTAATTTAATGAGTTATGAAATTTTATTAAATAGCAAACTTTAATGGTTAAAAGCAGTAAAAAACATGGTATTTAAGAAATGTATATACAGAAATTTACACTGTTTTTAAAATTTAATAGATATTTTGGACAACCTTTTTAGGATATAATGATTTCAAAATAAATGTAAATTCATTACTAGGATTGTGTATGTATATTAAGTTCATGATACTAAATACAAAAATTAATAGCATGATTTTGACCAATTTTGCACAATTAATTTTAAGAAATAAAAGTAATATCTCTTGTATCAAATGGTTAAAAGTTAACTTTTTAACTAATAAAGGTGAGAAAATACTGAAATTAAAAAACTATACATGATTATTTATATACAAGATAACTCTAATTTCAAACTTAGAATAGAACAATTTCTTTTTGTATGAAGTAAAAATAGATAAATTTATGGTATATCTGATGTATCTGCAATATTTATACAAGCACTGTATCTAATGCATTAAAAAATAACAATAATAATAAAACTTGAAATGTTCTAAAAAGCAATTATTATTTATAATTACTTTTATCAAAACAACATGATATAAAAAACAGAACTGTAACAAATGTAAAAACTAAAATAGTATAGTGTATCTATAATACAGAAGTGGACAGCACGTGGACCATTTAATATGAGAAACTTTTATCATACAGGCATTAAATTACAAATAATTGTCATCAAAAGTGCTTGTTGGTCTAGCAACATTTGTTTGTAATTTAACGCCTGTATGATAAAAGTTTCTCATAGTATAGTGTATATCATACAATGTAAAATAGATGGTTGTTTCTTAACAGTTTTCATTTGCAACTTTGAAATGCTAGTTGTTTATGCTTAATTAATCCAACTACATTTTATAATTTTAACCTTTAATATAAGTTAACTGCATGACTCAAAAACAAATTTAGATTATTGCAATGACCATTATTACTATTTACTGAACTGATGATGCTCAGAATCACTATTATTAACTTAATATATAGCATATTCTCAAATTTGAACTTAAGTGTCTATAAAGTCATTATACCACTATAAAGATAAAGTAATTTTACAGAAGATGCAATAAATCTTTTTGGATACCTTGCACAGAATTACTGTATTAATTCTGTACAAGGTATCCAAAAAGATTTGGATACCTTGTACAGAATTAATCCCCAATAACGCGGCGAAAAAATTGCGACAATATTCGTATAAAGATGCTAAAAGGGACGCGTAAAACGTCATCGCCAACTCGTCATCGCGGACGAGCAGCCGAACTACTTTCCGTCGTCCAGCACCATGCTACAGAGAGTTTAGGCTGGTAAATTGAGTTTACTATCGTCTGTACAGTATTATATATAAATTAGGTACTGTACATATAATTATATATTAATTATATATAAATTAGGTACTGTATATATAATTATATATTAACTTAATTTATTTTAACTTTATTATAATTATATATATATATACTTTCCGCTGTCTAGTGCTACGGAGAGTTTAGGCGAGTAAGTTGTTTACTATCGTCTGTACATTATGTAAATTAGGTACCGTAAGTCTAATACAGTACTGTAATTTTATACTTTTCTTGTGAAAGAAACATTTCTTATTCAATGGCCATAAAAATTATTTATATTAATGATGTCTCCAAAGTTCAATTAAGTTTTTGCAGAAAAATAACATCAGAAATCGCGGCCGCGATTTGGTGTGCTGGTCCGCGACGAAAACAAGCTTAAGCAATGGTGACGTCGAATGGTGCACACTCGGTAAGTAATCCTACAATTTTTTGTTTATAGCATAGTTTATACGGATTATTCCCAAAAAATTATATGTGTTTTGGAAATGTTGAGTCGAATTAGTCTAGAATCGATTAATTTTATGGAAGAAAACCTTTCAAACAGCTTTAGTCCGTAAACTTCACATGTGTCGGGCTGTGATTGGCTCACGTATTTAAGGATTCCTACAACACGAAATTCGTATAACGAGGAACGTATCTCCACGTTATAGGGGGTCTACTGTATTCTATAAATTTAATGCACTAAAAATCAATCATTGTAAAATTTATAAACTGGAAAAGACATATAATCATATAAATTTAAGAAAATTTGTTGCTGAATGGCAATACCATTTCCATATACATATTTTGCAAAATTTTTATTTACAAATAATTTTTACTTTTATAAAGTTTATTTAAATCATATTACTTTTACATACTTTCTACTTTTTAATAGAAATTTATACAAAATCTTTTATGAAAGTAAATTTATAGCATCTCGTTAACTTGCTCAGACTTTGTTCTGCCAGCTAGTATATCAATTTTGCACAATTAAAAATATTTATCATAAATCTATCTTAGTAGTTTATCTCTCTTACTTTACAGTCATTCAATGCCTCATGTTATATGACAGACATCTGATCAATAGTCCAATTCTTCCCACACTTCCTCCAACTGATCCCTTATTTCTTCCACATTTCAAATTCTTTGAATGTGAAGATTTTCAAACGGAAGTGACATGTAGATGATGCAAGTTTTGAAAACCGGGGTAACTTTAATCTAAACTGCAGGCCATTAGGTTCCTAAACCATGTAAATTTTTTATAGGTGTACATAAAAGACACAATCTAAACTTGTCACTTATACCTAAACATCTCTATACTCAAAGAATTGAATCAAGACTGTTGTGAAGAGAATAATAAGAGATCAATTGGAGCAACTGTGGAAAGAATTGGATTATAAGTTGTGTCATATAACAAAACAAGCATGCACAGTAAGAGATTAAACTTAGTTTTACTTTTTTTTCATAGTATACATTTTTAAATGTTCAATAACCGAAATTATAAATATGTAAAATACCAATATTCTTTCCAAATAAATCTATATATGTATGGCTATAATATTACAGTTATAATATTATCTAAATATATTAACTTAATATATTTAGATAATATTATAACTGTAATATTTATTATCTAAATATATTAAGATCAGTGAATGTATTTATAATTACAAAGTGCTCTGAAGATCATGTATATATTCTTTTATGACTAGTGATTATAATAAATATATAAGAATCTATACTAAAAATATTAAAATAATTTAATAAAATTTATTACAACAGAATTTCTAATTTATAGAACAATTTTCACACCTTAATAACCTTGTTTGTTGTCTCTTTCTTATGGATGGGTTTGTTTCAAAAGAGTGTGGTCGTTTCCGTTTCTTTCCAGTGGCAACGGCTGCTGCAGCAGCTACACCTACAGGCCCTGTTTTGATTTTGAAGTAATAATTATTTTTATAAATACCAATTAATAATTTTATTTTATATTTATGAATTAGAGATAATTTAACATAATTTTCTTATTTGATTAAACTAAAAGTTAGAAATTTCTATTTTCAATAATTTAATATATATAAGTATACAATATTTTAAATATTTTAATATGCTAAAGCAATTTTTATAGTTTTGGTTTAATAATTGGGATTATTAGAAATAAAGCATTAACAATTCCATAATAAATTTACTGAAAAATAACATATATGTTGGTTTTTATTCTTAACTATTTATTTTAATAAAATAAAATAAATAGTTAAGAGAGATTATCTATGATCTATTTATACAGCATATTAATCCCTACATTGCCAACACCTGTATTTACATAAAATCAAATCCATAGTTACAACAATGTTTTAATCAATTAAAAAAATGAAGAGTTAATTTTAGTATTTTTAAAGTACAAACTACATTTTTAAAAATTATAAAATTTTATTACATAATATACTAAATAATTTTCATAAAAAATAGTTGAATTTGCTATGCAAGTCTTACAGATGCCCAACATCAAGATTGGTAGGGCAATGAGAGTGGGAAAAAAAAAGAGTAATTCCCCTAGATTAATTATTTGTATTTTTGTTGATTATTATGAAAAAATGAATTTTGGAATTAAAACTGGATGGTGTCTACGTAAATCATGACTTTTCTGCTAGATTGAGAAATATTAGATTTAAAGCTTTGTGATTTTGGTAGACAATCAAGTGTGAATGGTAAAAATAGTTTATGATACAATTATTATTGATGGAACGAAGTACTTTTATGATGTTGACTGTGACCAGGTTAAGCCTGTTTCATCCTAGCAATTGTTGGATAGGGGTACTTCTTTTTAATTTGGAATTGTGCTGGTCTATTTAATAAATCTGAGTTTTTTTGGAAGTATTTATTGCAGTATGATATTATTTTTCTTTCTCAGACTTGGTATGGTTCTACTAATAGAAATTCAGACTTAGCTGATTGTTTGCAAGGTTATAATCTCCATTTTGGAAAGGCCTTTAAGTTACACGTAAAAGGTCATTATTGTCCAGGCTGATTATTAGCAATAAGATCCTCTTTTCCCTGTGTGGTTGTTTATCAAGACGACTTTTTAATACTTGTTAAATTTAGTGCCAAACTTGGTAATATTTTGGTATGTTTTGTTTATTTCAGAAAAAATGACTGGCAGTCTATTTTTGAAACTTTAACTGATATTAGATAATAATAGGAATGTATTGATTGCCAGTGATTTTAATGTTAGGATTGGATTGGAGAATATAATTTCTGATGCATTTTGCAATTCTTTTGGCATTGTTTGTCCTATGTATAGGAATTCTAAAGACTTAGTGATTGATTCTTGTGGTAGGAAGTTGCTTCATTTATGTGAAGATTTAAATATGATTATTGTTAATGGGAGATGTTTAGGTGATGAAGCAGGTGAATATTCTTTATCTCTAATTGAGGGTGTTCTGTTATTGATTTGGTCATAGTTTCTCTGTTAATTTGGAAAGATGTTCTCTCTCTTATGATGGATCAGTTTTTGGATTCCAACCATAACCCTTTGATTTTATGATTGGCCTGTGGCAATGATACATCAGTTTCTTTAGAGAAGAGGCAGAGGATTAATAGATTGTTTTGGGATGAATCTAGAAAGGATAAAGGATTAATTAAGGTTGGCTGTGGAGGAAATGTGTGTGTCGAATAAGTTTGATTCGATGGAAGACCTGAGTAATTGTCTTTTTGGCTTGTAAGTGGGGAGACATAAGAATTCTTTTTCATGGTTTGATTCGAACTGTAGGATGTTAATTAGCACTAGGAATAGAGCCTGAAGATCATTTAGGAAGAGCAATGATTCTAATGATCATTTGCATTTGGTGAAGCAGTTTTTCATTGTGAAAAAAAAATTATTTGCTGGTAAAATTCAGAACTGTTTTAGGAAAGATAATAGACTTTTTTGGAATTATTTCTGACATGTTAAGCAGCCTAAGTCTTGTAATTTTGGCTTTATTGCTATTGATGATTAGTTTCATCACTTGTTAATTTATTTGGTTCCTTGGACACTTATTTTGCAGATATTTCGATTTTTAATTATTGTAGGAATTGGTATGATGAACTTTTGAACCATGAATTTTCTATAAGTGAGCTTGATGATGCTTTGAGAAGATATAAGTCAAATAAAGCTCCAGGTTTTGACGGGATCCCAATGGAATTCTGGAATTTTGAGACATTGAGACCACATCTTTTGAGTCTTTTCTCAAAGATTTTTGATACTGGGATAATACTGGAGTCTTGGAAGATGAGTATTTTAATTCCGATTTTTAAGAATGGTAGAAAGGATGTTCCTGGTAATTATAGAGATATCTGGTTATCATCTTGTGTTTCAAAATTGTATTGTATTATTTTGTATAGAAGACTGACTTGATGGTTAGACGTTAAAAATATATTACATGAAAATCAGGCAGGATTCCGGGCTAGTTATTCCACATTGGATATTTTTGTTTTGTATATGGCTATTCAGAAATTTTTTTTACAGAAACGTAGGAAGGTGTATGCATTTTTTGTTGATTTATCTTCTGCGTTTGACAGAGTCTGTAGGAATTTGTTGTGGTCAAAGATGTTGTGTTATGGTTTCAGTTATAAATTTGTATCTTTACTTGTTGCTTTGTATGAAAAATTCTCGCTTATGGTGAGAGCTGGAGGTAACTGTTCATCATTAATGTTCTCTAAGATTGGTGTTAAGCAGGACTGTATTTTGAGTCTAATCTTGTTTAGTATTTTTTTTTGAATGATCCCTTTGGTATTAACTCTTCTGGTGATGGTATAGAAATAGATGGTTTCCAAATTAAAATACTTGCTTACGCAGATGATATTGTAATTTTATCTGATTCTGTGGTTGGGCTTCAAAGATTGATTGATAAATTGGCAATTTATTTAGATGAAAATGGCTTGAAACTGAATTTGAATAAGTCTAAGGTTGTTGTTTTTCGAAGAGGGGATAAGAGTGCGAGGGCAGATAAATGGTGGTTTAATGGTTCTCCAATTCAAGTTGTCTCTGACTACAAATATTTGGATGTTATTTTTTCGTCTAACAGTTTATTCTGAATGCATTACATTAATAGAAGAATTCATGCTAGATTATTGATTAATAAGATTATTCACTTAGGGAGATCTGCTAAATTACGTAATCTAATTGATTATTTATGTCTATTGAAAACTATGGTTTTGCCCTCTTTGTTATATGCTTCAGAGATTTGGGATTTTAACTTGACCAATGGTGATGGTATACAGACTGAATTCATTAAAAACTTATTTTATTTACCTCGTTGTACACTAGGTTACTTAATTAAGATGGAATGTGCCTTGACTCCTATATAATTTATAATATTTAGTAGGATAAGAAATTGGATTATTAGAATTTCTAATCTTGATGATTATCATCTGAGTCAGGTTTGCCTGAAATTTATTCTTGGCAAAAAGTCTATAGATTGAACACGTTATGTTGTTGATACCTGTAATAATCATGGTATTAATCTTATTAATGATAATTTGGATTTAATGAACTGATCTCTTCTCCTTGTTAACATTTTTTATAATTTTTTATACAAATGGAAAAATAAATAATAGCATATATAATTGTTGGCATAAGGTAGTCTAACAAATTTAGGCTGCCTGCTATTAATGTTTCAATATTAGTTACTCAAGTCCGAATAGCTCGATGAAAAATTCTGATGGCAAAAAAAGAAAAGAAAGGTCAACAACTCACTGTGCATTTAGAGTTAACGCTCCATTACAAATCTCTTAAGACAGCATAGAATGTTGATAATGTAAGATAATGTGAAAAATGTATCTGTAATCTCTATGTACAATTTAGTCTCTACAAGGTGACACCACAATGAGATCTCACACCACCTCAAAATCTTCCTAGGGCAGCCTCTGGTTTGGCCTGTGAAAAAAGTTTTCTTTCCAATTCGGACCAGGGGCAAAAACTATTGGCCACCCCTGGTACAAGGATTTAAATGTCATTTTTTTTTTTTTATAATTCTTTATGTAATCAGGATGTTTCCCTTAATATTTTGTCTTTATTTATACAGGCTAGGTGTAATTCATTGAACTTTTTAAATAATTATTTGAAAGAATTGTGTAATTTTTGTGTCGAGAAAGAAATTGTGGATGCCTGGTATATTTTGGCTAAATGTGGGCGTCTTAAAGTGCTATGCAAAGAAATTTTTGGTTGCGAAGTTCTTACCAGGTCTTTATTTCTTAAAATTTTATTGGAACCATGTTATCAATTTAAAGTGTTTTGTTTTCTAAGAAAATCTGTCGATCTTTTGTTTTAGGGAACATGATTCCTCAACTATAAATTTGGCCTTATTACTGGTGTTGTTTGGGAGCATCTGTCAAGTGCTGTGTCTTCGTTACTAACTTATTTCTTTTTTATAGGTAAGCAATTTGCTTATTTTTGGTTTATTTTTTATTGTATTTTATTGACAGATGCTCCCAAACTTTAACTTTAAACTTTAATTATATATTATATTTTAATTTAAAACCCTGCCTTAATTTAAATTATTATTTATATAATTTATTATTGTATAATTTTGTTTGTGATCTTATGTTCATTGTATCTAAGAGTTGTTTTTTTTTTTTGGTGTGGCAATGGTATTACTCCCTGCATCAAGGAGTGTATCCAGTATGCATATTAAATAAATAAAAATAATTTTCATAAAAATTAAATGAACTTATAAAACTGAATGTTTAATCTCATAAGCATCAAATTAATATTATTTGATATTGACATCAAATATTCAAAGTTAATTTTTTTTACTTAAATTAAATTAATGCATCTCAATCTTAAATTATTTCTATATTTAAATAACTAATATTTAAAAATTTTTATATTAGTAATAATAAAATTTTACCTCATTCAATTCACCAGCAATAATTATCAATAATAATTTACAAGAACTGAAATATAGTTTGAAATAAATTCTATTTTGATATATTAAATCTTATACTGTACTTAAAAGAGATGCAAGAGAAATTAAAAGAAAATATCACCAGAAAAGTTGGATATACTCTCTCCTGAACAGATGCAAATAAAAAAGCTAACAACCAATACAAATTAGAGTGACATATCACAGAATTAATAGATTTTATGCAATCCAACAACCTTCATATAAATTTAAATTTAGACAATTTTGTATTTTATCATTCTTGATCCAAATGTCTACTAAAAATCAATTTCAGATTTCACCTTTTGTAGATGACATCCCTGTATTAATATTTTAGAGAAAATATTATTAGTTTTTCTAAACCGCAAAGAAAATATTATTTTAATCACAGATATAGCCTACTGTAATTCTTTCCATGTTTTATAAATAAAAAAAGTTTAAATCCGACACAGATATTTAACATAAATTTTAATAATAAGTTGCATGCAGAAAGTCAGCTCAATCTCCTAAAGAGTCCATCACATTGGCTAATGGAAAGGGTCTCCAAACATAGGAGAACAATGGTAATGCAACAGCTTGCTCGAGGAAGAATTTACGAGTAGTACAGATGGATCTTCAAACTCCTGAAGCCTTCCTTTAGCAAGTGGAATAAAAGTAAAACAGGATTTCAGGAAACAGTCAAGCTAAAGCAGCAAATTTGAGTAAAATTCAAGTATTGTCTAAAATTCATAGTCTGACAAAGGTTTATGATGAGCAATAAAATTAATCCCCATAAGAAGAAATGAATCTTCAGTAACCACATTTAAAGCATTGAATAAAATTTAAGTAGCTTGAACAAATTATTCCCAATAAGATCAAAATATAAGTTTTAGTAAATGAACTAAGTTATATTATTTCTGATAATATTGTGGTATATTCTAGGAAAATTGAAAGAAAATAATTAGGATATCAAAATAGAAATAAGAAGACAGCAATTCATATTTATTTTTGAAATTATCAATAATAAATATGAATTTTTCAAGTTTATGTTAATTTTAGAATTCTACAAATCAACAATACCTAATTTTATAACCAACTTTACAAAATAAACTCTTTAAAACAAACTTCATATCTGTGCTTAGTTTAGATAATTTACAAGCATTCAATTAAAAGCATTAAATAAAAATTGTTACAATATTTATTACTATGCACCATATTAATCTTCAAAAATTAAAGTTTATTTGTAGTAAAACAATTAAGAATAAATTTTAAGTAAAGTTAAAATTTATTCTTAATTGTTATTGTTAAAGTTAAAGTAATAAATAAAGTTAGACATAAAAGCCATTTGTTATTTAGAGTACATTTATAAACTTTACTTAATTCATAAACTTTAAATAATTTGAAAGCAGATCATTCACAATTATTAATATATTGAAAACAATAATATTTTCATATAAATAATAATTTTACCTGCAGCAGCCAATTGGGCTGTGACATCATCTGTCACTCCTGAAGATGATAACAAATCAGAATCATCAAATGATGGACTCTCTGGAGATGATGGTCCATCACTCATTTCATCGTTAACGATGATTGTGTGATTAACTGTTGAATTCATCCCAGAAGTTAAAATTGCCGTGGAATTCATCCTATATTTTATACAATTGTAAAATAAAAATTAATTTTATATACTGATATCAAAAGTTTAAAAATTATGAATATTTATACTGTTACATTAATGAAAAGTAAAAATCTTTATAATTTGAAAAAATACTACATTTAATATAATAAATTTTAAAATAATTTTTATTAGTTCAATTTAAGAATATTTTAAAATTTAGTAGTGATAGGGTTCATTTGAATGGTTTTCATCAATGGTTTTCATTTGAATGGTTTTCATTTTTTTACAGCTATATTCTTGCAATATCTTAGACATTTAATGCTAAAATAATATTATAATCACTTCATATTTTCCATATTAAGCATTAAAAATGTGAAAGACCTCAAAAAATTTTTAAAATTTCATTATTAATAATGTAATACAATAGACCTCACTTATTATAATCATAGATATTGTTATTGGTCAGTTAATGTTATCAAAATTAGTTTATCTCAATAGATGCAAAAAGATGATGATAATTATAATTAATGAGTATTCAAATTATACATTTTTTAACTGTTTTAACATGTCCTTTTAATATTAAAATCAATAAAATCAGAATTTCACTAACTGTAATCATATTTACTTTATCCATTTAATGTTACGAATTGGTTATTATTATCAGTATAGATAGGTAAATCTCAAAGTGATTATTGATTACAAGAGTTTACTGTACTTTAGACATTATAAGAAATAAATTATTAATTTACTATGATTTATGAAATTATTAAACATTAAAATGTTTTTATTTAAATATATGTTGAACAAGCAATTATTTATTGTGACATTGTCGGGTTGTAATTTTTAATTAACTTAAAATATATGCTCTCCACCTTAAATTAATGGCTTGCCCCTATCCTATATATCATACATTAACTTTAACAACAGAGTCATGCTGATCATCTATCTAAACCTTTCAGGGAAAAATTTTTAAATTGAAATGACTTCCAATTTGCATTGGAAGTTCATATATAGTTGATTGGAGCCTACCACCCAAGGTTTCCAGATTTCATCTTTCATCTATCTAATTTTGTCCTTGAGATTACAGAATGATGAACAGATGGATGGACAACAGTGGGAATTTATAGGTCTACAGTTTTTTCAAATTGCACCCAACAAGTATAACTGATATCGGTTAATATGAACCACAAAGAGTCAATTAAAATTGTTTAATTAGCCATTGATTTTTACAGAATGTGATAGGAAACTGCTCAACTATCTAATGTAGTACTTCCTAACAGAAAAAAAACAATCTTTTTTGTAGACAAAAATAAAGATTTCAAAAGTAAAAAAATTTTTTGGAGTAAATTTTAGAATTCTAGACTAAGGGATTTTTTTAGATTAGAAAGTACTAAAAGGACTCCTTTAAATCATTTAAATGATCAATTTTTATTCAAATGAATCCATCAATAAAATTTTATAAGATAATTCATAAGATACAATATTAATTATTATTTATGATGATATGTTTAGGCACAATTCTCAAATCAATATCACATTTTCAATTATTTTAAAATCTATCTAATCTACAAACATCATTTTTTTTTCAATATAACATGAGTGAAATGCATACATATAAAGCAACAATTTGTTGATTTAAATCCTCTTCTGGGCAATTATTTTCTCAGATTTATCAAAATTTAATTAAAATTAATGTAAATTTATTATTTTGCTTTAGTTTGGTATCAAATTTGAATCATAATACTAAAACATCTAGATGTAAAATTTTATCCTTGTGTTGAGAACAAACAAAATACACAGATAATTTTTCTGCAAAAACAAAATTAATATTTTTTAAAAATAGAAATTACCAAATTAATTCGTGTTCATTCCAGAGACATTTCTTAAGATTAAAAGTTCAGAAGATTTTGGTAACTATTGGAAGATTAAAAGGATCTTGCAATAATTACCAAAATATTTAAGGTTAATAAAGTTTGGCCAAACAATCTAGAATGGACCACCATTATAGATCTGACAACTGTTGACCTATCACTGAAAACGGAAAAACAGAAATGAAAAGCAATCACAAAAACTTGTCACTGTGATTATTTTTTCCTCTAAACTGACAACACTGAGATTCTAAAATAATCTGGAGACATCTTTTTATTGAAAGTTTTGTGAGAAATGAAGTGGAAATTATTGCATTTTTTCTCTTGTTTTAAAATGTTGTTCAGTTCAATAAATGTTTATCTTTAAAAGTAATAGCTATAGCATAGTTCATGGGAAAAAAGTGGTTCAACTTTAACCTCAAATATTTCAGTAACTACCACATATTTGCAAATATGTTACTCTATATTTTTTCTTAACTTGATAAGTTCTATAACCCATTTCCAGGAAGGGCACTTTTTACAACACCCTGTATAGGTAGCTTTTTACTCTGTCATATATGATGATCTGGTCAGAGTTATCAAATTTTGTTTCTACACTAATATAAATTAGTATTCACTTTATAAGGACTTTTTAATTACTTAAATTATAACATTTGTATATGCTTTAGTCTATTGTATTTATTGTTTTTGTTTAAAATTAAAAATTGTTGGGATTAGATGAATACTTACTACACAATGTTTTCTTTTTCTNAAAAAATAAGACATTCCCTGAAAATAAGACCTAGCGCATTTTTCAGAGCAAAAATTAATATAAGACACTGTCTTATTTTCGGGGAAACACGGTAGTAAAATAATTTTAACATTAATAATAATAATTTAGTAACATAAATTTATTCATAGCAAAATGTACTCGCGGGCCATAAAAATTATTTGGCGGGCCGTATACGGCCCGCGGGCCGCCAGTTGGACAGCGCTGGTCTAGCAGATAATTATATATATATATATATAATTAAGATATAATTCAGAATTCTGAATTATATCTTGAATCTGAATTATATCTTAAATATATTAGGAATTCAAGAATAAAAAACATATTTCTACATCATCTCAGTTGTGTTTAATGCTCAAAATTATATAGATATATATCTAATATCAATATAATTTATCAAATAATATCGTATATCAAAATCAATTACCATTGCCCGCTCCTTTATAAATTGATCAAGTTGATAGCATTGTTTATGAAATGTTCAGTTGGGAATGAATGAGAATTAAGAATTTCCAGTTATAGGATACAATTTGTCAATAGAATTTTTCTTATTCAGATATTTATTGAATTAATTTATATCAAATTCTGCATTTTTATTCCATGACTTCAGAGAAACTCTACATCAGGTTAATCATGTAGAATATTTTAATGGTAAATTTTAATTGTAAATGACTTCTTTTAAAGTCCTCTTTTTCCCTGATAAATAAAAGTGTAGAGACATTTCTTAAGATTAAAAGTTCAGAAGATTTTGGTAACTATTGGAAGATTAAAAGGATCTTGCAATAATTACCAAAATATTTAAGGTTAATAAAGTTTGGCCAAACAATCTAGAATGGACCACCATTATAGATCTGACAACTGTTGACCTATCACTGAAAACGGAAAAACAGAAATGAAAAGCAATCACAAAAACTTGTCACTGTGATTATTTTTTCCTCTAAACTGACAACACTGAGATTCTAAAATAATCTGGAGACATCTTTTTATTGAAAGTTTTGTGAGAAATGAAGTGGAAATTATTGCATTTTTTCTCTTGTTTTAAAATGTTGTTCAGTTCAATAAATGTTTATCTTTAAAAGTAATAGCTATAGCATAGTTCATGGGAAAAAAGTGGTTCAACTTTAACCTCAAATATTTCAGTAACTACCACATATTTGCAAATATGTTACTCTATATTTTTTCTTAACTTGATAAGTTCTATAACCCATTTCCAGGAAGGGCACTTTTTACAACACCCTGTATAGGTAGCTTTTTACTCTGTCATATATGATGACAGAGTAAAAAGTCAGAGTTATCAAATTTTGTTTCTACACTAATATAAATTAGTATTCACTTTATAAGGACTTTTTAATTACTTAAATTATAACATTTGTATATGCTTTAGTCTATTGTATTTATTGTTTTTGTTTAAAATTAAAAATTGTTGGGATTAGATGAATACTTACTACACAATGTTTTCTTTTTCTCTTGATAAATTTTCATTCTGATAAATAATAAATATTTCTGAAAAAGAAAAAATTGCCCAATGAAAATTATAATGTTAAAATAAATTTAAAATGTTAATTTTTAAGTACTATAGTTTTCTTAATATTAATGTTATATTATTAAACACACAATGCACAAAACCAACACCAGAACTACAAAAAGAAAAAATTTACTAATGTTTTTGTCTATATGAAATAGACATCAGGTAAAAACGATATAGAACAAAATGGCTAACAAAAATTGAATGTTTTTTCAAATGTTCCAACTGATTATGTAATTTGAATACATTGCATTTAAAATTTATATGTTATGTTCGGGATATAATTTCAAAATATGTATATTATTTAAACGATAAATGAATAAATAATCAATTAATTTCACATTAATTATTATGGCATAAATATTACACATAATTTAAATTATCATTAATGCAAATTTGTGTTGGCAGAATCTATTATTATAATTATTATTTTTGTATTGTAGTAGAATGGCATTATAAATTGAATAACTGAATGTGCATAATTTTAATCCATATCTCTCAGAATTATGTGCTTTATTTGCCTTAGTCATCATGCTATCATGTTTTATATGGTATATGTGAAATTGCACTTTTCACCACACATTTAGGAACATATTTAAAAGATTTTCCCATCCCTAATACATAGATGAAGAATATGTTTTATCACATGAATAAGGTTCAGGAGAAATTAATGTAATATTGAGAAAATTTCTGGTAGAAAAACTAATATTATGGCAGTAGCAACAATATTCATTTTGTAGTGTAAAAAAATGGCAGTGTCTCAGAAAAGCCTATAGACATTAATTGGAAAAATTTGCCAACATGAGGATCTTGTGTTTTAATCTTGTGTTTTGAAATGTTTACTTTGTTACCGATCAGTTAAGTCACTTGTTGTCCCACTTACAAGGTTATGTGCTTACAGTAAGAACAAGTCAGTCTCATTTACTGAACCACAGTTTGAATTTTCATGAAAAACTGAAACTAAAACAGAACTTGAGATCACAATTACACAAGGGGTATTTTTTTTATACAAAAGTTAAATCTTATGTATCATAAAATATGGTAATTCTAAAACTTTCAACTTCCTCTTATAAAAATTGTGGAGGAACTTTATAGACTTCACTTTTGAATCTGTGATTAATGGAATTAAATAATCTAAAACTCCATAAATAAAATGCATAGACTTTCCTCTTTTTCTAGTTAATACACTATTCATTAATTCCAATATAACAAAGTATTAAATTAACTGTTTAGAATTAAATTTTATAGAAATGTACTGTACTTGCATCTTGTGTATTAATTTTTTATAATCATATTCTAATAATTTGTTGTGCACTAAAGCTGCAAAATACTTATTGATAAGTTTAATTATTAAATACATTAAATAATTATTTGGTTACTGTATCATTAATAAATAATTATTTGGACATTTTAGAAACATAACTAAACAATTGTTTTAAATAATCGAGCTATAACTCTGCTAATTTAATGATTAAGTAATTTGCTACTAGAGGTAGATATTAGGTACCATCTCTTAACTAAATTAATAATTAAATTAATTAAAATATCTACAAATGTGAGGCAGATAATAGTAAGGGCTTATCACACCAATAATTGGTGTGATAAGCCCTTATACAAGGGGCTAAAAGCAACTTTTGTAATAAATTAATAATTATAATTTTAATAATTTATTAAATAATTTAGAAGGCTTGCTTGGGGTCTGGGTGGTGCAACTGACAAACACACCTGTGCAGTGTGTTTGTCAGTTATGCCACCTGGACCTCTTGCAGATTCAAGCCCAGCCCTGGGTCAGTTCTTTTCTTCCAGATGGTTCTAATGTCTACCTCTAGTAGCAAATTATGTAATATTAATCATTAAATTAGTGAAGTTATAGCCCAATTATTTAAGGTGATTGTTTGGTTATGTTTCTATATACATATCGGGCTTCACAATGTTTGATATACTTGGACATTTTAACATGGATCATACCAATTTATGGTCTAGCACAGCGCTGTCCAACTTATCATAGTCCGCGGGCCATATTTTCTTTATCAAACATTTCGGGGGCCAAGAAGGTTGATAAACCACACGACATTTGCATAGTGCTACGGTTCAGTAAGCACTAATTGGTCAGCGAGTCCGATGTTGACGCTATAAAAAGGCGACAGTTCGACACACCGGATATACGTCACTCTCGTCTAAGTTCGACTTGGGAATTTTTTTGTTCAATAATAAATGTGAATTCTTCTTCCTGGAAAAAATAAGACATTCCCTGAAAATAAGACCTAGCGCATTTTTCAGAGCAAAAATTAATATAAGACACTG